GGTGATCTGGACAGCGAACCTGGCTGGCAGACACGTGACGGATCTGGCTACTGTACGGAACTGCACCGGTCTGGCCGCAGACTCCTTCAAGAAGAAGCTGTACGTCGCAGAGACGGGCCCAGCGCATATTATTAGGATGGATTATGAGGGGGAGAATTTGTAAGTGGCATTTCTATTTTGAACGTAACATAACAACACGCCTTTTATTCATTTATTTATTTCAATTAAATAGTATAACATTACTGTCATAAAACCAAGGCGTTATACATTTCAAATAATTATAAAAGAAAAAAAAAACAAAACAGAACAGACCTTAAATAAAACAAACATTAAGAATAAGAAAACTGGTGAAAAGAGGTGCACATTACGGCACTTAATGCCACTGTACAATGTAACACCCACTTTTCACTATTTATGTTATGAGTCCCATATATAGGGGGGTGAGCCTATTGCCATATACCGGGTTCATTTTCAGACTCCGTGTTACTACTGAGAATTTTTATAAAAAAACCCCTTGTCCGACTGCTGGGCACTTGTGGCCACAACAACTCAGCCATCAAGGCAGTTGTATTTTTATGATTAGATTATGAATTATTATTATGTAATAATTTGACGAGGAACTCAACTAGTTTCAAGCCATGCTAGAGGCTCATATTCATGAGCAGCATTCCGCGAAACTAGTCCGAGTTCCTCGTCAAATAATTACGTTAGTAAGCCGAAAACATAATGATTAATATAGTATGTCTCACGAAAGTTATAAGATATGTAGATTAGAATATATTCCAGAAGTTGGTAGAAATTGCACATTATCTCGTACAATATCTACTTTCGACCTGAAAACTTGAAAGAGACAAAATACCTTGAAGATTTACCTTGCCAAATCATATAGGATAGATAGCTAAATAGTCCTTTTGCATTTAGTAAGATTCACCCGGTGCGAAGTTACGAACTCTAGCCAAAAAAAAAACATTTTTAAATGCGTGTAATTAAATTAGCAATAACCCGATTATCCATAAAAATGGCAAACATTTTACATGTGCACCACGTGTTTAACGTTTTTTAACCATTCAAATTTCCAGCAACAAAATCCTCTCAGATCACCCACGTCTGCAAGCACCGCATGGACTAGAAATATTCGAAGACTACATCTACTACTTGGAAGCCAACTCGTTCCGCCTCAGCCGCTGCCAGCTGTACGGGGCCAAACATTGTGAAACTTATGTGTACCGTGTGTTTGACGCCAACACGTTCGTCATTCGCCACGAGAGCATCCAACGCGATGACATAGTCAACGAATGTGAAGATGTCGTTTGTGACAACATTTGTGCCGTGGACGAAGATGGGCCCAAATGTTTGTGTGACGATGGAGCCTTGGCCAAGAGTGGGAAGTGTCCTGTGGTTGATAAGAAATTGGTAAGAACTTTTTTTATCATAATTGGTTCTTTACCGTGTTCTCTGCTGGACATAGGGATTCTACAACTGCGCGTCGCTGAGCCCGATCTCCAGTTATTTGCATCTAACTACAACCAGCCACTTTGTCGATATCTATTTCTCTACCTAGTTGGGCTATTTTACAAACTAAAACAATTATATCAACTGTGCTTTTATAATAACTATCGTGCGACATACTAAATTAAGTAAAAACTCGAGTTACTCACGTGAATATACTGAGAAAAGCTCTACTAGTTTCGAACCACAGAGGGGTTCTTCCTCATGAGCAGCGTGCGCGGTCGCGGCGACGTTACGCAGCTCACTGAATTCTCTCAACTTCTGTGGTTCGAAAATAGTAAAGCTTCTCTCAGTATATTCACGTGAGTAACCCGCGATTTTACTTAATTGTATCAACTATAGTGCGATATCAATTATCGATATCAATTAGATTAGAGTAGGTTTAGTATTATCCACGAAACATTATTTTGTAATATAACTATTCGTTTTGGATAAGTAACGGTAAAGTGGGGTGAATAGGGACAGAAGAGGGGCGAGTCGATACTATGAAGAATTTCCTTTTATCTATTCACCCTGTCCCTATACACCTCTCGATCCCTATTCATCCCATTTTACGGTACTCTCATCATCATCATCTCCCAGGTACCTTTATTCAACGGCTGGTCGTACGAGCAGCTGGCATCAGCTCGCAGCATCCCCTTCACCGTCACCTTGGGAGTACTGACCCTGATCGCCATCTACCTCTGCGTCTTCGTATACTACCATTGTATATACATACCCAGGAAGAGAATGTTAGCATCTGCTTACACTGAGTGAGTAGAAATGTAATTTTTTAAACTGTATTGAGTTGAGTTTATCACTACATAGTATAAAGCAAAGTCGCTATCTGCCGTCTGTCTGTCCCTATGTATGCTTAGATCTATAAAACTACGCAAAAGATTTTGATGCGATTTTTTTAATAGATAGTGATTCTTAAACTGTCAAACACCAAGCGGTCACCGGTGACCGCAACCTATTGTTCTATAATTGTGTCTACAATACCGGTACTCGACGAGTTAAGGAAGGTTTATATGTATAATACATGCATATTGCAAGCCGGGGCGGGTCGCTAGTGAATTATATTTAGATGAGTTGACTATGAGTTGTATTGAGTCTAAAATTGTTTGCACTTTCTGTTACATGGCCCCAATTGACATTGCGGTTTATAAATGGTCGCAGTTGACCTATTGTAATGAAAAATTTGTACAATTATTTTCAGAGTTCGGTTCCAGAACACACAAAATACGTCCTATCCTGAATCAGACCCGGTAGTGGAGATGCATCCCTCAAGGTATCTACCTTAGTTGACCAATTTTTTAAAAACAATCATTGGACATACCAAAATGATGGACAAAATTTTTGACATTACTTATTTAAAAATAGAAACAAATGACATATTTATCAAATGAATTTATTTATTTTATATAAGACAATAAATTAGAATTAAATGGAATGTTGTGTATTTCTTTTCTTCCTGAAAACCCTTGTTTTTTGTTTATGATTTAACTAACTGTTTTTATTTCCTCAGTTCGGTTTCCCACGAGTTCATAAACCCTCTTCAGTTCGTAAGAAACATGTGGTATGGGCCCTTTAGGAAAGATAGACGACCAAATGTAAGTTCAAACACCACTTGGTATTAAATGACCATAGATACGTTAACAGGGTATTTAAGGTCAATAGAAAATTTCTGGTACTCATTAATTGTGTCCAACCGATACTGGATTTTTAGCCAAAACTGAAGCCCAACTTTGGGCCACGATTTGAAGAAGGCACAAAGATTTTTCAAAGACACTAAGGATACGACACTATTAAAAACATGTCGACCAAAACTAAATCGGGGTCGAAAATAAGGATTCGGTTTCGGTCCGAAAATCCAGTTTCAGTAGGATACTACATAATAAGTACATTTAAAATTTTCTTACATCATTCATAACACAATCCAGTCCATTTTAACACAAATAATCTTTACATAGTATAAAGTACCTAAATGTAATTTGTTGCAGAATATCTCCGGTCTACCAATCACCACGCCCGCGTCCCCGCCGCAACCAGATTTCTCCGATACAGAATCAGACATAGACGATAAAGAGAGCCAGAGAATTTTAAAATATCATTAATTTTATTCAATGAGCCTACAACATATTTTAATTTTTAATCTGTAGCACGTTATTTTTTATTTACTTGATTAATGATCAAGCTAAGAATTATTTTTTAATTATTGTTTTTATTAATTTATTGTTATTATGTTTTATTACAATAAGTAAATTATTATGATTATGGTGTAATTAAAGTATGAATGTGTTTTATATTATGTTAGTATAAAATGTACAAAGTTTAATTTAATTCAATTAAAATAATTTAATGTAATTTTCAATAGTCTAGTCATTTGGTGTCAGTGCCAATAGATTTTAATAATAACATCATCATCATTAGCTCCTGACAGTGCATTGCTGAACTACGGGCCTCCTCTACATAAGAGGAACCTGGGTTTGCCATAATCTCTTTTCGAATCTCAACTTTACCCACTTATATACCGGCCAGTTTGGCCATAAATCTCATAATCCACACCATCTTGAAGTGGAAATACTTTTAACCCCTCTTTTTCATACAAAATGACTGGACTATGGATAATGAAATAATAAAAATATAATCGGTGTTTATTGTTGTTTTTGAATTATTTATTCGATTTGCAGACTTGTAGTTAGGTATACAAATTAATAAATAGGTGAGCCACCAAATAAATATTAATACTCGTTCCAATAAAAGTATTACGTGGAACAGATTTTGTCATTTTCGCCATCTCATACGACAGTATACTCTTTGATCAAAGAGTATAATAAGTATAGGGGACGACTCATCCACGCCTTGTAACTTTGCTTACCGCGGTAATGGCTACATTGTGCGCTAACGATTTGCAGTAAAAATTGCCATTTTCATTGAAAAAAATAGTTCCGCCCGCGTACGCGCAATCCTGTTTCTCCCGTTCCCGTAGAATTTTCAGGATTCATTTTCTGTCATAAGAATCAAACACAAGAAACAAAATATAGGAATCGGTCCAGCCGTTCATGCGTCATGGCGTGACCACGGAATATATGAAATCATTTTTAGTATTACAGGTAGATAGATAGACATTATATAGACAAGGACATTATACATTATATAGACATTATAGGTAGATAGATATACAAACATGAAGAAAAGACAACGAGAAGCGTGTATACGTAGTTACGTACCCTTAAAAAACGCGCCTTTAATTTCCCATATGTAACGGAAGTAGTAAGTCTAGTGTTGTACTTATCATAGACTAAATACGATTAATCATTTATTTGTATTCATTCATTTTTTTACAATTTTTCAACTAATCAATTAATTAATCAACTAATTAATTTGTGTCTTCAATGCGAATTCACATATTTTAATCGTATTCATATTCCGACTATCATAGAGTATTTCAAATATAGACTAACGAATGTACGAGACCATTAAGCATTTACCATAGACAACCACTGTGGCGTCTTTCGAGCGGATATTGTTTATGATCGACATTTTCTAAGTCTTTAGAAAATTTAGATCTAGGACGTAATTTTTATCAGAATTCCGTCTTAGTAGTTGTTATTTTATGCAAACATTAGTGCATTGAGTACGTTTTCTGAAATTGAATCAAATTAACACAAAACCGTGTCGTATAAACGTTATGTGTATGCCTATAAGGCTAAAGTTTTTTTCGCGACCATTATAGCGGGAAATCTACGTTGTGACGCGCACAAACCGAGATTATTCGTCCCTAGCACTGGCGGAGTGTCGTAACAGCACGGTTATGTGGCCATTTATATTTTGACAGTGGACTTGTGATAAAAATTGTTTTATTTGACAATGTCTGAGGAAATGGCGGTGTCTGATAACACAACTGGGGATGAAGCTACAGTTAGCAACGATGATCAAACAGCGGCACCTGTGGCGGAGCCCGAGGAGGTAGCAACAGGAGAGCCGAGCGAGCCTGTTGCTCCTGTTATCGAGGAGCCCCCAGCGATGGAAGAAGGTAAAATATAAACTTTCACATAACCTAAGTGCCAACATCACGACATATTTATTCGTCATTTGGCCAGTTGTTTGTTACTTTTATTCGTTCTAAGCTGCAGTTGCAACCATTGTGTTGCATATTGAGGTCAAATATGTTCACTTTCATTGCTTATTTTAGTTGTTAAAAGTTAGTTTGCTTGTGTTTAACTCATTAGTTATCAGTACACAATAATAGTCAGCATAACTCAGTGTCAATTAGATAGTCTCAGTGTAATTAACAGATACTAATATGTTTTGTAATGCAGAAGCGAACTAATGTCACTGTAAAACCAAAATCTATGATCGGCTTTAAATCGGTGACATCATCACAGTACATGCATACTATGGGTTGTTATGACCTTTAGGATTTACTTGAATTACATGGCTAATTATAACTAATGCAAAGTCTTTACTATTTCTGTATCATTTTAGTAACTTTTATACCATTGTCTCTATGTACATTATTTATTTTACAAATGATTGCTATACTTTTGCTGTTTTAATCGGCTATGATTTCAATCATTATATTTGTCATGATTCTTACATTCTGACATATGTATTTCAATGTTGATTTAATATATTTTTGTGTTTTCTATTTTTCTTTAGTATTATGACACCTCTCGCTCACTCCTCTAGTCCTAATGACGATTAACTTACTTTCAATCACCCCATTAGTAAACATTCGGCTAAGTGTTGCATTACTAGTTAATGTTGTAATATTAAAATCTCATTTCCTAGTTTCATGTCATTCCAACTATTTTTACTTTGATTTTTATTTTGTTATATTACCACTTTTCTGAGAGTCCATTTTGTATATGTAATTAGTATTGCTGGCCTTTATTTTTGTTTCAGTAACAATGGAATGTTGTAGATTTATAATACAGAACCATTGCCATGCTTATATTTATAACAATTTATTTATAGACATTGATTTAATGGTATGAAATGTGAAATAAGGACTGACAGTGAAGCTGTCAGATATAAAAAAAATATATTTGATTTTGACTGCATGGTTGGTGCGGTAACTGGGCAACCGCCTGCGGTGCAACATGTCGCGGGTTCGATTCCCGCACGGAACAACACTTTGTGTGATTCACAATTTGTTGTTTCGGGTTTAGGTGTCATTGTGTATGTTTGTAAACGCACCCATGACACAGGAGAAAATCCTAATGTAGGGCAACATTTTTTTTTTAATTTCATAGAGACTCATAGCATGCTGTGTGTGTATTTGTTTACTTTTAATTATATAATATGATAGTCAAATAGCCATGTTAAAAATAACACTATAAGTTAAATAACAGCTTGTAATATTATGAAATATGTGAGCCTTCACACATGGTATTACATTACACAAGACTAATTATAGATGAGGTACAAGGTATTCATCCATTATATATCTTAGTACAGTGGTTCCCAACCAGTGAAAAAAATGGTCCGAGGGGGACATAAAAAATAACACCCAAGACTATACTGTCCAATATACAACATGTAACGTAATTAATGCACACTCTCAAACACCCCAATTAGAATATTATGTTATAATCATATTACATACACTAAATTTTTAATTTAACATGTATATGCATCCTTACTGACTGGTCTTGTCATAAGGTTTATTTTTCTTTATTTTGTATTGAATGATAGAATTTGTATGAGAACAAATAAAACTGCGATTTTAAAAGTCTTATTGCTTTGACTTATGGTCCATTTCGATTTGTTTTAACAATACAGGGTTAATATGACAATAATTTCCGTAGTTTTAATTATTTTTGGGATTAAAAAATTACCTATACTCAAAATTATATAAATCGATTCAGTTAACGATTCTGAACAAACTATTTTCAGGATGTGTATTATTTAAGTTACATGTTGTATAATTCAGTTAAACCTCAAATTAAACTTGTATCATAGGAGACAACTGAAAGAAGCAACTTCAAAAGTCACTATTTTTATGAGCCAATGTAATCTTAGTGTAATATTTTATGATAAAAGTAATAGTGGTCCCTAACCTAACGACAATGATAAAAGTGGTCCTTCACCAGGAAAAGATTGGGTTAGTTGGATGAAAAGGATTTGAAAATGTTAAGTTATTTTTAGAAATTCTTCAGTGTTTTATAGGCTCGTAACATAATATGCAATTATTTATTGAAATACTGTTTATATTTATTTATGGTTTTATTAGATTTAGATTAGAATGGTGATATTATTAAAATTCATTATTATGGTATTATTTTCCTTCTTATGCAATTAGGAGGATAACAGGAAATTATGGTGTTTCCAATAATAATATTTCTTATATATCTGCTATTAATACTATACCTGTTGCCACCTATATTAATTGTTTTTGCTCAATGAATAGTCAAATTATAGTTTCAATGTTTTGTAGGGTTATACTTGAGGTCATTAGTATTTATGCATAATGTTTCTAAAATCTTGTAAAATTGTTAAAACATCACTGGCTACTGTTTACTTATGATAGAATGAAGGAGAATATTCAATATTATATTATATTTCTCACTTCTTAAGGTCTGTTTTTATTAAATATTACTTATTGATACTACATGTAATTTACTTCACATTAGTACACCAATAAACTTGTTTATACACCAATGCAACTAATATAACAATGACACAGACATAAGTCATAAAAAATTCACCCACGCCATCCATTACAGATGCCCCGGAACCAGACAAGGAACCAAAGATTGAAGTAGAAGAGAAACCAGCAGTTAAAACTGAACCTTTGACCGAGGAGATAGATTTACCGCTGGACTCATTACATACTGATGTGGAACTCAAGAAGGAGGAACTGGAAGATGTGAAAGATGAATTTGAGACCTTTGAGCATAATATTGAGGAGGACATCAAGCGGGGGATCAAACGGAGAGCCTCATCAGCTTTCAGTGACACTGGCGACGAAGACTTCAAAGGCTTTGACGATATCAAAATAGAAATCAAGACTGAGGACTATAGTAGAGTTTTGGGTGAGTTTATGGAAATAATATAACAAAAAGTACTTGATTATTGTTAAATTTCCAAATAGGTCTTGTCAGTTTAATCTCTTTTGTCACAAGAAAATGACACACAACTTGTTAGTAAAACATAATATCTAACTCGAACTACATTGAATAATATTTAATATTCAGAACGGCTGGAAGCAGAGGTGACAGAAGCGAGCAAGGATCTGGTGCCTATAAGGACTGTGATGGCCGCGCCTGGCAGAGCCTCCAAGCGTCCACGCAAGGATACTGGTAAGTGGTCGTTTGTAGTGTTTGGCTGGAGCTTTTCGTTAAGAAAGAAAGAAATAAAGAAAAAACATTTATTCGACAGTAGGGCAAGCACGCAGATACAAAAAAATACAAATTGAAAAAAAAAGGACAATTAAATACACATATTCATATAGGTATAGAAAAAAAAACAAAAAAATGACAGAGAATAACAACACAGTGACAATACAATTAAGCTTCTTCTCATATTTTTAAAGTTAAGATAAAAACCAGATGAAGTAGAAATTTTACTCAAATAAGTCAATCTCAGCATTTGTCTTTAAGGGTCTAGGGAAGAGTAGGTACTCAAAATAAATGCAACACCTACTATTCGCTAATTATGTTCTAAAATCATCAGAATCGCCTTTTATTCTCGCATTTGTAGCTTCAGATTTGCAATGAATGCCTTGAAAATATGTAATTACACGATGTCTAAACAATGTCGCAACTCCTTCAAATCTAGACAATCTCGGCTAATTGCTTTGTGGTTTCAAAATAATGTTATTACTTGAATCTCAATTTGTACTTATATTCATGCCTTTAAAAAATAAAAATTATATTGTAGGTATCAGGTTCAAACAGTATAAATAACAAGTTAAATCCTTACTATCCATACTTCCTTACTAATATTATAAATCGGAAAGTGAATTTGTTTGTTGTTCCGCTTTAAGGCCGTAACTACTAAACCGATTGCTTTGAAATTTTGCAGACGTAAAGTTAGAAGTCCGGATTAAATAATAGGGTACTTTTTATCCCGGAAAAAATTGATATTCCCGAGGGAAAACAAAAGTATTGGTATAGATGGCGCTGTATGTATATATTGGTATAATATGTCACAGGCTACTTTTTATCCTTTTGTGACGCGAGCGAAGCTGCGATAAAAGCTAGTAAAAATAATTGAAATAAAATGAACTTGAAATTAGTTAGAAAAATAAATAATCATTAGTAGAACATTTGTAATTAATATTGAGTCTAGTTTAGTTAGTTAAGCAACAAAGTAACATAGGAATATAGGAAATTTTATTAAATTATGATTAAGTAGTTACAATCAGTTAGATTATTACAAAAAATATGGAAACTTAAAAACTTTTGATAGTGTTATCTAACACTGCTACATTTTACATTTGTGAGAGCCTTTTGTAACTCCCGTAAGAATGAATAAATAATAACATGTATGAATTGCAGCAAACAGGCGGTCCATAGTCTTTGTCCGGTCCATAACCATAATAACATAATGTTATGTGTGTAAATTATAACATAACTGGCAATCTGTATGAACTGTAACACTTTTATTATGTCTACTTCTTCGAAGATTAAGAGAAAGAAAAGCTAACTATTTCAGATTATAAATAAACCAAATATTTCCCATTACAGATGGATCCAGACCCTCATCAGCGCTATCTTCAAGATCTGACGAGGGAGGTACCACTGATGTGAGTACTCCCACTTTTCATTACATTGCTTTTACTAACACTCACTAAGTCCTCTTATTGAATTTGACCCTCTTTTATTCAAGGATATCTTATCTGTTATATGGTTCTGTTATGAAACATTTAATAATTGCTATATATTTCTATTATATTACATATTGAATTGTATTGTATAATTCATGGTCAGTTAAGAACATTATTACTAACTGAGTTATGGTCATAGTTGTTTTCACCAACCACTCTTAATCACCTCTTAACTAAGAGTCACTTAGCGAGAGAAAGCACCTAGACTGTCCTCGTACTTATACTGTTAGGTGTCACTTATAAGTTGGTGAAATCCAAAATGTTGTTAAGTGTTACGAGTTCCTTATAATTTAAGTGAGTTTGGTGAAAATGGGCAATTGAGTCTCATTAATTTGTGGCCACTAAAGATAGAATTATAACAATTTTAACAAAATATCTTAAAATTCTTTCCATGGTAGACAAATCGGACTTAATTGAGAAGTGGAGCAATTTCTAAGGCTATTACTAATTACTAAAATGAATGTCTGCATGTATAATACCAATATATTAGATATGGTATAATGTTTGTCTATGAATGAAAATTATCATTTTTTCATACAATCAATGTTCCAAAAGAGGGGTCTATTCATTCAGAGGACACAACACTTTAGAAGTGCCTACATCTTTGCTCGATTTCGTTGATTAATTAGCTCACTAGACGGCGCTACTGTTGATTACAATACGCTCAACCTTATTGATTACTAAAAATTAGTTTAACCGACTTTAGTTTCGTAGTATTTAGTTTACTAACACATAAAACTCATAGGCAAATAAATGTCATGCATTTCATGCTAAGAAATTGTACAAGACTAGCCAAATCATTCATACATTAGGTTTTAATTAGGCGCTATTGCCATCATTCCCATTTCATTGATAAAACACAATTGTTCAGACCAAAAATTGCTTCCACTATTATAAGTTCTTTGGCCTCTATTCAAATTGTCCCTCCAACAGTTAATTTAGCTTCTTTGTTACAAGTTTAGGCGTCGACAAACATCGAGCAAATCTTGTAGGCACTTTATGGTTTACTAACACTTTAAACATATTCTTTTTTATCTAGCCAGCATTCAAAATTGAGGTTCAAATCAAACGAAGAAAGGTTAGGACTGACATTTCTTATTTGCATGATCGTAGCTGGGACATGGAGTATACTTTTCTAATAAATAATAATATTATTGATAAAGTGTCTATGCACAATGCTTCGAAAAGATTTTCATACCTCATAAGCTATCGCATCTGAATGCTAGAATTATTATTTTTGGCTTTATCTCAACTAGGTTGGGATTGGCAGTCATTAATTCAGATTCGGATCAATGTCAAAATTTTGTTTAGACCGCCTGGCAAATATTCTCCATCAGCTAAGGGAATGTTTTGGTAGACATTTTTATAAAAAAATGTGGATTTTTGAGCTATTAGCTGCCTAGTATATATTTAGCAGCCTTCATATAGCAACTAGCCTATTTTTTCAGGAGTAAGGTGATGGAACGAAAATTTCAATTGTATGTTACTCTAGGTTTAAGTTCAGTGCGATACATACAATGTTGTAGAATTAGTATTAGCTCTATGTCTAAAACTGCTATGGTTAAATAAGAACTGATTTGAGTAGTTTTTATTATAATGCATGAAGTGTTTAGACTTGATGGGTGTCATGGTTGCATGTTACTTAATGTTAAGTAATATGTTAACAGTCGTAACTTAAAGGATTTTTTGACTGCCTCGTTGGCCGAGTGGTCGCAAGTGCGACTGCCGAGCAATGGGTCTCGGGTTCGATTCCCGGGTCGGCAAAGTATCACTTGGTTTTAAAAAAAATCTCAGTACGCACGGAGTCTGGTATTGTGCCCGGTATATGGCAATAGGCTCACCCAGTATTACATGGGACTCATAACAGAAATAGTGAAAAGTGGGTGTTACATTTTACAGTGGTATAATGTGCACCTCTGCCTACATCTTCGGGGATAATAGACGTGATGTTATGTTTTTTGTGTTATGTTGAAAAATCGGCCAATCGGAAATAATTCCTAACAGTAGATTATTAAATTGACAGGTTCAGTAGATTTTAGTACCGTAAAACGGGGTGAATAGAATTCGCGGGGTGAATAGATACAGGAATGGGGTGAATAAATATTAGAATATTTTCCCTACATTTATTGACCCCTGTGTTACTGGAAGAATTGAAATCAAATATTCAAACTTACTCCTCAGATAAAATTTAAATGGCGTTGGAAAAATCGGTCCTTAATGTCAACAATAGAAAATATTCTTCAATTGCTTCCCAACGTTTAACATCATTTTCCCAAACTCAGGTTAGCGCGGCATCATCGCCTGCGCACCGTGGCGGTCGTCGCTCCACCATTGAGATGTCGTCTCCCCTACTCCGAGTGCCTCTCGAACGCGGGTGGAAGCGCGAGCTCGTGTACAGAGCCGCGTTGGATGCGCACTCGAGACGGAATGCTGACATCTATTACTATACGCCTTATGGGAAGAAGTTGCGGTCTACTAGAGAGGTAATATATATGTCGTAATAATATTTTTTACATTTCTATAGTGTCTGACGCCCGAATAGTGAAAAGCAACGCAATTTTAACTTTACTTAAATATCTGCCTCGTTGGCGGAGTGGTCGCAAGTGCGACTACCGGTCAATGGGTCTCGGGTTCGATTCCCGGGTCGGGCAAAGTATTACTGGGTTTTTAAAAAATTCTCAGTAGTAGCACGGAGTCTGTAATTGTGCCCGGTATATGGCAATAGACTCACCCCCTATTACATGGGACTCATAACATAAATAGTGAAAAGTGGGTGTTACATTGTACAATGGGATAATGTGCACCTCTGCCTACCCCTTCGGAGATAAAAGGCGTGATGTTATGTTACTTAAATATTGTGCCATCTCTGTCATTTTACAAAGAATTTGTAGTGAAAGCACTATACTTAAGAGCGACTTAAAATAGAGACAATTTCGACTAAAGTATAGTTATGCTATTAGTCCCATGTTACAAGTGGCTAGTTAAAATTCATTTATTTTATACTAGCTTCTACCAGCGGATTTGCCCGCGATACCGGGACAAAAGTAGCCTATGTGTTATTCCAGACCATAATCTGCCTCTGTTCCAATTTTCATCCCGATCCCTGGCCCAATAGGGCTGCGGAGCCGCGGGAGTAGGAACGGGGTGGTTTTAGTCAGTAAGAGTCTGACATTCCCTCCCGCCTCACCGAGGCGGGAAATATCATTCGATGATTTTCTCCCTTAAAAAAAAATATGTTCCCGATCCCTTCAGCGGTTTTAAAGTGATTGATTAATAAACATACACACAAAGCCAGACACTTTCGCATAATATTAGCAAGATGTAACACATAAAAGTAGTTGATGATGAAAATATATATATATAACAAATGTATTTATAATTGACAGGTAGCCGAACACTTAGCTGGTACTGGCCTCACAGTGGAGAACTTCTCCTTCTTCAAAGAACCACTTGGCGTTGATGATCCCGAAAAGGAAATAATCAGGTAAATTCTTTATAAAAGTATTAATTAATATTCTATATGTATGTTTGTATGTGTAAAATAGTGGAGTACCTGGGGCGTTAAACTTCGGATTTCTCAGGGACAGAATACACTTAAATAGATTTCTTCGGAAATATATTAAAATCTAAGAAATAACCTCTACCTGATAAAAAAATAAGATACAGATACTAGCGTACAGATACACATCTTCATGACCAATTTCCTATCAGTCGATAACTTGTAAAATGTTTAAGGGAGTTGTAGTTGTAAAGTATTATGAACGTTAGCTGCGGCGCAGGTAGTGAGTTGAGCAGTGGCAGCGATAATGATTTCCAAACACATGATAATGATTTCCTCCCGAGATAAAATTTATCAAATAATAGTTTATTTACTGTTGATAAATAAAAGTTAACTGGCTTTTGCTGGGTGGAAACTCGTCAGCTGATAATCTAAAGGTGAACTTAAAAGGCATTCGGAAACATCAAATAATCTATGCAAATGTATCAGCTGATAGAAGCTGTCTTAACAAAAGCTATATTATATATTATCTATCAGCGCAAATACTCGAATACCTTTATGAATAAATAGTGGTAACAGAACCAACTTAAAAGTATATTCTATTCTACCAAACGAAAAACGGAACACACAAATCGACTCAGAAATGCTTCAGCAACTGCTGTAAATCGTTGATGAATTACCTGGATTGTCTGTGCTCATCAATACAAATTCAATTAAGTTCAAAGACAAGATAATTATTGTACACCAATGAAGAATTTCTCAACCATCTTATGTATTTATAATACAGTAATATAATTCAACTATATTTAGGAAAGCAATTATTTCTAGGCAACATGAAGACGACTTAATTTCAAGTGCGGAGGCAAATGGAACCACGGCTCCCAAAAATGATTCACTGGCCAAGGGTACGCCAAGATGGTTTAACGAGATAATTATTATAAATCCACGGGCCATCGATAGTACGGACTTTGCTGCCGGCGCCGTTACAATGCCTGAAAACGTTGAAGATAAAAAGATTAACGTTTGCTTTTTTTGCAACAAAAGCAGAAAAAAAAATAAAGGTCGAGAACAGAAACTATCGGTTTTCACAGAAAATGGACTCAATTCAATTAAAAACTTAGCGATCGAGAGCAACGATTACGGCATGATCCAAAAATGTCAGGACTTACAATCAGATCGGAATTGTTGTTTTCATAATTGTTGTAAACTTCATTATACTACTTCGCGAAAGTCCACAATATTAAAGCTGGGACAGAATACAACTGAATGGCATGTCACAAGAGATATCCGAGCTGCAGCGTACAGTGCTGTCGAACAGTTTGTCGCTGAACATATTGTCAGTCAAGGGCAAGTTGTCTACATGAAGTTTTTAAATGAAATTTTCAGTGAACACTTGAAGAACAATCAACAAGATATTTTAGACTACAGTTATAAATCGTATCATTTGAAAGAGCGACTACTTAAAAAGTTTTCAAAAAAAATTAAAATTATAAAATTTAAAGGTAAAACTGTTGTAAAACCGTACCGAGGGTACGTTATCGATTAGCGGTGAATGTGAAATTTCTGCATCACTAATATTTTTTAAAACAAATTTGTGGTGACCTAGGCGAAACAAATGATCGAAACGAAAGATTCATTTTACGCTGTTCAAAATGGTAAAATAATACTTACAGATTAATTAATTATAAATATTGTTTTGCTCATTACCAGTTTTTTTTTTTAAAAGTTTTGATTGGTTAATTGTAAATAGTCGTAATTGATGATGCTGATGATCCTAGAAAGTAGTAGTACTAGTAAATAATTAAAATGGTTTTCTGGAAACCAATTGCCAGTATCAGTTGAAAAAATAATAAATATTAAAGTTGAAATATTAAACCCGTTAGTTTGGCTAAAATGTAAATTCTTTCATCCCCTGAGAAATGCGAAGTTAAAACCCCCAGGCACTCCACGAGTAAGTATCCCTAGCAAAATTTTATTTTTATAATTATAATCACTTAACATAACATCACGCTTTTTATTCCCAAAGGGGTAGGCAGAGGTGCACATTATGGCACTTAATGCCACTGTTCAATGTAACACCCACTTTCCACTATTTATGTTATGAGTCCCATGTAATAGGGATTGAGCCTATTGTCATATACCGAACACATTTACAGACTCCGTGCTAACATAACATCACGCCTTTTATCCCCGAAGGGGTAGGCAGAGGTGCACATTGTGCCATTGTACAATGTAACACCCACTTTTCACTATTTATGTTATGAGTCCCATGTAATAGGGGGTGAGCCTATTGCCATATACCGGGCACATTTCCAGACTCCGTGCTACTACTGAGGTTTTTACAAACCCAGTAATACTTTGCCCGACCTGGGAATCGAACCCGAGACCTCTTGCCCGGCAGTCGCACTTGCGACCACTCGGCCAATGAAGCAGTCTCATTAAAATCACTTTCATAAATATCTTCTGTAACTCTCTAACAAGCCCAAATAATCTTCGCACACATTTCTCAATATTGGTCTCAACTTACTACATTCATTGGTCGTGGGTTCGATTTCCGCGCGGAACACTTGTCCAGTTGAAAACAATTTTACGTTTGACGTGTATGAAAATTGTATGCTCGTAAACGCGCCCACGACACAGTAATAAATCCAGTGGGTCAAAGTTTTATAAAAAGAAATCTATCACACGATCATCTTAAAACACGAAAATACACATTCATAAAAAAAATATATCTATTACAGAGACGCCAAACTGATTCGCCGCGTGGACTCACCAATAGCGGCCACAGTACCCCCAGCACAGGTTGAAGGCAAGAGGACCCCCAAACCTAAGCCCCCTAAGGGAGCCAGTCCTGAACCTGTCACCCCTGCAGCCACCGCCGCCACTACTGCTACTACTGCTGCCGCTGCTGCAAATAAATCTCCTCCAGCTAAGCTTAAGGTAAACGATTCTAATATTCTTTCTATAAGACAAAAATATAATCCTTAATTAATGAATTAATTACTTTATATCCCGATATTTTTATAAGAAGTTTAATAAAAGCGTGATTTCTACTTAGGTTTAAGCTTTTATTGAAGATTTGGTTCAATATACTTTGTGAGGCGTTTATAAAACTAACTAACTAGACAATTGTCTAAACTGCTCAATATATTGTCTGACCAGACAATCACCTAGTGCCTATATTATTTGGCGACTTCCAAAAGTTGCAATAACACCTCTTGTAAAAGAATCCTGTATCAACTTTATTGCTACTAAACAGAAAAGTTAATAAACTTAATTTCCGTTTCCCAGGTGAAATCAATGGGCTCCCGGCTCAGCAACAACGCAGCTCCTGCAGCACCAACCCCACCAGCGAAGCAACAGAAAAAACCGCAACCAGCCGAGCAAAAACCGCAACCGGCGCAACAACCAGCAACAACACCGAGCAATACTGACAACAACAACTCTGCTGCCTGGAAGAAACCGAGGTACTTGATGTATTATTATTATTTGTTTAAACATTCACTGTGGTGATGTAAACAAAATTAATTACTTGAGCGTTTGATTTGATAGTCGCGGAGTTTCATAACGTAACACGGAAACGCTACTCAATTTTAAGTAGCACTTAAATATCGTGCCATCTGTCATTTTACAAAGAACTATACTTAAGCGCAACTTAAAATTTAGAGGCGTTGCAGTATTTGGACATATGTCTTGTTCGAGCACTTTACATTGAAAGAGGATTAAATTATGTTGAGTCATAGGAACACATAGACTAGATAGTTATTTTTTTATAAATATACATTATGTTTCGTAAATTAAGTCTATGATGTTTCGTTATTATTATCATAATAATTAAATTATAATGTTTTTGGCTTACGTAATTGTTTAACGAGGAACTTGACTAGTTTCAAGCCATGCTAGAGGCTTATATTCATGTGCAGCATTTCGCGACCTGCGACGCGGCGACTGTAGCGCTGCTACGAAAACGAAGCCGAAAACATAATAATTTATTTAGTATGTCACACGAAAGTTATAATACATATCATAATAATTATTTGTATTCGATTCAAAATATTAAATATTATCTTCTCCGTGCAAATAAATGGTTTAACGTTGTCGTTTTACGAAGCATAGACATTATTATACAGCGCATTATTATACAGTTCTATCTCTTCTCTAATTACTTTTGTTTACATTACGCTTTCTAACCAAAACTAGTATATAAGCGGGTTCAAAATAACGTCGTTCCGATACGGTTAATAAAAAGAACGTTTGATACATTCCTTTACAAATAATTAGGATAGTTACACATTATTATTTATGTTATGTACACGTCTTTATGTTATTTTTGTAATAAACAATTTGATTACTGATTCTGCGATCAGTTTTAAATTTTACTGTGTTATTTTGTGTGTTTATTAATGTTATATAATCCAGGCTGTCTTTACGTAAATTATTTTTGAGTCCTTATGTTACAAACAGCTAGTCTTAGTAACTTATTTATTTTCTAGACTTGGGTAGTAATGATAGAATTTTGATATTAATTTCTAAAATAAATTATCAAAGTTCTATCGGTATTAGTCAAATTTATTGACAGATAGGTTGTTTAGACTGGCTATTAGTGAATAGGGTTGATTCTACAAACAAAATTGCGAGTTTGATCAATGCAAAATATATTTTATCGTGATTTAGATAGAGTTTATTTTGCAATAAACGACATTAAAGTAGAGATTATGCGCGCGGTTGTATGGTGAGCGTGGATTATATAACGGTACCGTGTTGTCCGGGGGCTGTCCAATGAGCCCCCGCGCGGTACTGAGCCGACGCGAGTGTAGTGCGGTCGTGGCCAGGCCGCAGCCCGCGCCGCCGCCGCCGCCGCGCGCCGCGCCCTCGCCGCCAGACCCGCCCGCCACCGTGAGTATTGTATCATTCCATTATACCGACCTATTACTAGATTGAATAGTACATATAGTACACTAAATATTGAGTTTTTATTGGGACGACGTGCTCCATCGTAGCCCGCATCATCGTATCGTCAGCCCATCAAATACATATAAAAAAAATTTAGACCAATTTTATTGTTATGCGAAAGTTAGTCCCAGAGTAGCTTCTTATACTGTAATAGTAATAGTTCTTTACACATGCATAATTATTTTGAGGCTGCCTGTCTCAAAAACTAGTAACAGGGGCTAATTTGTTAGTCAAATTCAATGTGCTTAAATCAAATTTCTACTCCCAGCCAAAAACATTCATGATTGACATGATACTTAGACGTTTTATGTTGCATGAACTCCATGAAAATGCTGGCAAAAGTGCTTCAAAAAGAGTAGTTAGTAAATTACGTTTTTTTTTTAAGAATTTTTTTCTTTATAAATAAGGCTCACTGGTTCGGCAACTCACTAAAGTAATAGATGAATTATTTTGAAAATTAAACTGCAGGATGCAGGTAACTTCTAACTGCCTGTATAAAAGACTTAGTTATAGCCTATGTTCAGCAATGGACATCTTATAATTGATGTGATGATGGTTATAATACACTTTAATAGAATTTTCTATTAAAACATTCTTAACTCGTCGAGTACCGTCTTTGTAGACGCAATTATAGAACAATAGGTTGCGGTCACCGGTGACCGCTTGGTGTTTGACAGTTTAATCTAGAATATTTCAGACTTCGATCAACAATAACAACTAGATATCGAGTCGGCGCAAGAAAATCGTCTCGACAAATAAGAGCTCACTTGAGAAGTGAGCTCTTATTTTGTTTAGTATGCTCCAAACACGGCCAACGTACTCACGTCTCACGAGTAATTGCAAGTTGCAAAAATAACAACCGAAAAAGCAGTATAACGGCCGGAGTCTCTTACTTTTGATAAGTACATAAAGTATAAGTTATATTTTAAGCTTTTAAACTAGTAAATAATATCAAATTAGACAAAATTATCAATTATAAACCAACGCCACCAATGTTTGTGCGTGTGTTGGCGATTCCTTGGCCAAGTCTCGCCAACATTTGTATAAACAGAACAGTGGATGCATGGAGTCGATTTGTATTGAAAAAATAAGAAATTGTATCGTTTCTTGCTCGTTCTTCTCCATAGGAATCTACACCTTGGAATGAGCAAATAGCTTCACTTTTAAATTTATATTGTTGTTGTTCAAAAGTGCCTTCCTGGTATAACTGAAATAAATAATTTTGACTTAGACTTAGACTTTTAACGATAAAGTAAATAAACATATCATACACAAAAACGTACCGCTAATAAAAATTAGTGATGTATACTAAGATCCCGAAATGTTAATTTTCATATTATAAAATTATTTTAGTGTCCAACGCGACTCCATACATACCTCCTGTAGCGAAATTCGAAATTTGAAGAAGCAAAACGAAACAAAACAAAACGATATAGATCGCAAGACAATAATGGAAAAATTATCTTTATTTGTTCGACCTTAAGGTTGAATTCAAACTAGATATTGTATAACTTATGTCTTTTAATTTCTACATGACAGGAGTAAGAAAATACTTTTCTTGTCTTATGTGACGAATGGTCGTAAGTATTAGATAATATTTTGACGATTTATGTCTTTATAATTAGGTGCCATGGTTGTTATTAGGTTGAACTTAAAACTATTTTAAAACATTTTTCTCTGTTTGTTATTTTTTTACTATTATTATTCACACGGACAGAACTGGAGCTTGATTTTGTACGTAACCCTTTATCTAGTTGTTATTGTTGATCGAAGATTTCAGAGAATTAAAGCAATATCGGCTGTTAAAATTTACCTCATTGAAATGTTTCAAAATCGCCAATTTTTAAGGATTAATTCAAACAAATACCTTAATTTTGAGTTTGGTTCTTACGGACTTCTTAGTGAGTTGCCATGCCAGTATAGCCCCAAGTTCCGTAGTAACCAGTTATGTCCAGGTGGCCCCGCGCATGGAGCCGGGCCGGCTGGTGCAGCCGTGCAGTATGTCGTGCGGGCGCGGCGCGGTGCCGTCGCTGGCCTGCGCGGCCTGTCTGTGTCTGTACCACCCTGTATGCGTCGGATACACGCATGCATTGCCGCCTGACCCGTTCTTGTGCAAGGTCAGTCACTTTAATGTATCTATCTTCTATATAGGTCGTCGTAAAGTCGATTTACAAACTTAAATAACGATCATAAACGCAAATGCTAATTATATATCTGTTTTGGCAGAACTGTCGCAAATCAACATCGCCGCCACCACGGCCGGACCCGCCCCCACTAACCCACAAGTCTGGTATAACAACAAGTAGTATCCCGATACCCGTGCCAGTGCCCGTGCCCGTGCCTGTGCCTGTGCTCGCGCCAGTACCGAGACGTGTGCCTGTTCCTGTGCCCATACCCGTACCCGCTAAGGTGCCCAGGGATAAACGGGTGTTATTGAGGATGAAGGTAAAATAAGTTTTATTTTTAAGGTCTTTAGGATATAGTCAATTTAGTGCAGGTTGTGCGCGGTTTCTATGATTTTTACAAAGATTGTATGTCAAAACACCAAAACAAAAAAGGAACCATGAAAAACCTTTCATTAATTTACTGCATTAAGTTCAAACGCCAAAAAGATTTTTTGATTGGAACTTGTAGATCCGACGATTACAACTCTTTAGCTTTGTAATATTACTTTATTGCATAGAAAATTTACACTTCAAGTAAAATAATAATACTCGTCCCTCATGTCAGGTGGCAGGCGGCACTCCAGACGGAGAACGAGTATGGGCAGTAGCAGGCGCGGGCCCGGGGCCGGTGCAGGCGGCGGCCGTGCCCCCGGCGCCCGCGGCCGCGCCCCCG